TCCTTCTACAGGTGTGCAGTGGAGAGCATCCTGTGCTCCAGCATCAACGTGTGGCATAGAGGCTGCACAGCTGCAGAAAGAAAAGCTTTGCAGAGAGTGGTGAAGGCTGCACAGAAGATGTTGGAATCAGCCTCCCCACCATCACAGACATCTACACCTCCAGATGCAGGAAGAGGGCCACCTGCATCATGAAGGACCCCACTCACCCAGCACACACACTTTTTGCCCCACTCCCCTCAGGAAGGAGGTTGATATAGAAATTATTATTTTAATGCTTTTATGTCAATCTAGACTTATATTATACTTATTTAAACACACTTATACTCACTTTTGATGCAGCTTATCTGCTTATTCAGTCATTCCTGTGCTGCAGATGTGTTTTGGAGTAATTAAAGTCCTCCGGGGGATGCTCTAACCAGAAGATTGGGGCCCCATCTTCAGGTTACAGTGACCCAGGTTTTGAAGGACATGTTTATAAATCATCGCTCTGTTGCACAGATTGCTTTGATGAAGGAAAAACAGATTTAATTAAATCTGTTCTCCTGGCAACCATCAAAACTTGCTTTGATCTGCTCTCACGCGATCCGGTCAGGGAAGAAGGTATATAAGAAATGTATCAAACAACAGAGAGTTAGAAGTCTTGTTCTGGACCAGCGCGCGGTGCCAGATCGCCTGATTGAGTTCTCCTGTCATTGGATCGAAAGGCTTCCCGATCATTTTGTCACGGTGAGGGATACTCATATCAATTTGTGTGTTAAGAGTGTACATGACTCTTTTGCTTGGCTGTTATTTCTTGTGGCAGATTAATAAATGACAAATATTATTCTAGCAAGTTACAGTCTGTGTGTCATTTTTTCCTTCGTCTGAATAATATGTGCCGATCGTTCACGAACCTTTGATAAAGAATTTCACAATACAGAGGTTAAGGAGCATTAAGTGTAGAACCACTAGACTGAGGAACAGCTTCTACCCTGAGGCTGTTAGACTCATGAATCTCTAACTAGAATAATCACTGTGAAAAACCATATCATGTTGCTGCTGATCTGTTTCATGTTGCTGCTGATCTGTTTCAGTGTTGATGTGTTCATGCGTGCACATCTGCTCACAGACTCATGTTCATGTTTGTGCTGATGTTCAATGTTTTATGTTATGAGTGCTTAGTGTATATTTAGTTGATGTTTTTCTTAGTTCATATCTTAGATGTTATTACTGTTTTTCTTATACATTTTATTGTTGGATGTAACTGGGACCCTGTG